TGGCAGTGGCTGGTCATTTGTGTAGATGTTAAACATGGATGGAGCAAGCACGCTCCCCTGAGGCAGGCCGTTCTTCTATTTCCGCCATCTGCTTCTCTGGCCCTGGAACCCAACAAGAAAGCTCCTGTTTTGTAGCAGATTTCCTATGAGGCGGGTGAGGTGGTAGTCCTTTATGATATTATACTTTTGGGTGTCTATAGAAGACTTGCATTGCATTTTCCCATTGCACCAATGGATCTATATAAATGAATGACTCCAAGTTGTTGCACTCCCAGGAGCAGCTGTGGGGGAGGTTCCAGACCAAGCAAAGACCGAAGACCCAAAGACCTCAATGGCGGAGCAGGCGGAGGATAACAAGGTGCATATTACAATGGCTGTGAAGGCGGAAGAAGGCTGCAACAGATTGAGAAGCCACAGTCATTGTGTTAACCGTGCCACTAGATAGAACCTCACTCTGTGAAGACTGTGTGTGGATCAGCTGTGCACTGACCTCCACACATTTTTTAAAAGTCATGCACAGGAGTCTTCCAAGAAAAAATAAAAACAAACCAACAAAAGTCCCATGGTGATCAGCGAGTGGCGATGGGGACAGGACTATGAAATCTGGAAGCCCCTAGTCACAGACTGGCACATGGGTAGTGAATACGGACTCAGTCGTTCCACCTAAAGGTCTTAGGCGGTTGAGTAGTTCGGTAGCTGTATCCATGACTGAGCAGCCCTTTTTGGGATCCACTCTGCTCACCCCACATGGGGAAAGGGCTAGAAAAAGTGCCCTAAACATAGTCTGCCTCTCTTATCCCTGAATTTTGGAACATGGAACATACGGACACTGATGGACAACACTGACAGTGAACACCCTGAGCGCAGAACTACTATCATTGCAAGGGAGCTGGGACAATTTAACATCGACATAGCAGCACTTCAGGAGACCCGGAGAGCAGGAGATGGACAGCTGAAGGAAGAAAAAGGAGGCTACACCTTCTGGAAAGAACCGCCTGAAGAAGAACAAAGAATACACAGAGTTGGCTTTGCTTTCAGAAATGATCTGGGGAAGCATCTGACCAAAGCACCCACTAGCATCAACGAACAACTCTCAACTCTCCAAACGGAACTTGTCAAAAACCAACAGGCAACCATCATAAGCGCTTATGTACCAACACTTGATGCTCATGAAGACATCAAGGAAAAATTTTACTGTCAGCTGGACACCGTCCTATCAGAGATACCTAAGGAAGACAAAATCATCCTCCTGGGGGACTTTAATGCAAGAGTCGGGCGAGACTTCGACCTGTGTCTAGGGGTCATAGGAAAAGATGGGGTTGGAAACAGCAACTCGAATGGCATCCTGCTTCTCACCAAATGTGCGGAACACAACCTTGTCATACCCAACAAGCTCTTCTGCCAGAAAAACAAGCTCAAGACATCATGGAAGCACTCCTGTTCAAAGCACTGGCACCTCTTAGACTATGTAATCACATGTGCCAGGGACCATCATGACTTGCTTCTCACAAGAGCCATGACAGGTGCTGGTGACTGCTGGACAGACCACAGGCTAAACCAATCCACGATGGCTATTAAGATTTCCTCCAAATGCCGACTCCAAGGAAGAAGGACAAGGCGCAAGATGAACACCCACGCCCTTCAGGAGCCCTCCAAACGAGCCCTTCTCCAAACAGCACTTAAGGGTCATCTACCCATAGAAAAACCCGAAAATGTTGAGGAACATTGGAACAAACTGAAGACCTCCATCATCACAGCCTGCGAAGAAACTATTGGATATCAAACCAAGAAATATCAAGATTGGTTTGATGAAAATGACAACGAGATCCAACAGCTAAGTGACAAGAAAATGAAAGCCTTCCAAGTATGGCAGAGAGACGTCAACTGTGCTGCTAAGAAAAAGATCTATGCCAGTGCAAAAGCCGAGGTCCAAAGAAGAAGAAGAGAACTCAAGAACATCTGATGGACAAAGAAGGCTGAAGAAACCCAACACCTGGCAGATAACCATGATGCTCAGGGATTTTCCAAAGAAACTATGGCATACAGCCTCTACGCTCATCAGATGGAACCAAACTTCTGAAGGACAAAAAAAAAATCAATTGTACTACGTTGGAAAGAAAATTACCAAAGCCTCCTGAATTGCAGCTCCAAGGTGGCCTCTCACAAATCCTGGAACAACAAAACAGGAATAAGCTTGCAGCACTGCCTAGTTTGGAAGAAGTCAGCAATGCCGCGCTGAGTCCCCCTTGTGGGGAGAAGGGTGGGATATAAATATATGAAATAAATAAATGTCATCAGCCAACAAAACAATAACAAAGCCAGCGGACCTAATGGGATCCCTACTGAATACACACGCACATATTAAAATGAATTTTATAAAAGATACATATTAAAACGTCTTTCTATAAAATATGTATTTATTATTTACTAGCCGTTCAGGGGGGTCTGTGGGGGAAGTTTGCCCTAATTCTCTCATTGGTTGGATTCAGAATGCTCTTTGATCGTAGGTGAACTATAAATCCCAGTAACTACAACTCCCAAATGTCAAAGTCTATTTCCCCCAAACTCCATCTGTTTTCATATTTAGTCATATAGAGTATTTATGCCAAAATTGGTCTAGAGCCTTCATTGTTTGAGGCCACAGTGCTCTCTGGATGTTGGTGAACTACAACTCCAAAACTCAAGGTCAATTCCCACCAAAACTTTCTAGTGTTTCCTGTTGGTCATGGGAGTCCTGTGTTCTCCTGTGTGCCACATTTGGTTCAGTTCCATCGGTGGTGGAGTTCAGAATTCTCTTTGAGTTCCACAGCCGAGGGGCCACCACCAGGAAGGCCCCGTCTCTCGGCCGCACCAGTTGCACTTGCGAGGATGTTGGGACAGAGAGCAGGGCCTCCTCAGCCAATCTTCAAGTTCTTGTAAGCTCATAGAAGGAGATACATTCGGATAGGTCCTATACATGTATAGTCCTATACATATTAAAATACACAAAACAGAGATTAAACAAAGGACACAAGTTTGAAATCCATGCTTTAAAACGGGATGAGATAGCATTTATTTATTTGAGTCGATTATGCCCTGCTTTTTCCCCAAATCAAGGCAAAACTTTAAAAAAATTAAGATTGGATCTTAAGAAAATTAAGACCCTATCAATTTCTTATCGCAACCTGATTATCTAAAACTGTCAGCAATAAAACCCTATTTATAAATATAACATACATATTGAAAACCATTTATTAACCCCATTGGGAAGGGGGGAGGGGAAAAGGGAACAAGGGCCCCATCTGCACTGACCATTTAGCCCAGTTTGAAACTGGCTTCATAGTGCAACAAGCAAAATACAAACTCCCACCGAAGTGGATGAAAGTAATCGTTTAATGCACATCAGTGCTCTGCAGTTTGTATAATCAAACTGTTTCCAGGATGTCCCATGTGATCATCTGCACAATACTGGTTTGAAACTGCATTAAATTGTCATTGTAGATGAGGCAAATATGTATAGGTAGTTAGAATCATAGAATTATAGAATCATAGAGTTGGAAGAGACCTCATGGGCCATCCAGTCCAACCCCCTGCCAAGAAGCAGGAATATTGCATTCAAAGCACCCCTGACAGATGGCCATCCAGCCTCTGTTTAAAAGCTTCCAAAGAAGGAGCCGCCACCACACTCCGGGACAGAGAGTTCCACTGCTGAACGGCTCTCACAGTCAGGAAGTTCTTCCTAATGTTCAGATGGAATCTCCTGACTACTGAACTGGACCTTTTGACTACGGAGTTATCTTGAACCTGCAACAGTGTTTGCTATTTTTGTTTTATATTCTGTGGCTGAATGCAATCTTTAGGTTTTATATTTTGGACTATTAAAACAGCCAGAAAGTAAGTGCTGTTTTAATTAAATTGTTTTATACAAACTAGGTTTTTGTTTGGTTCATCTCTGCCTAAATAAGGCAAAGCCCTGGCATCACGACAGTGTACTTGTTGTAGTTCAGCGTGATGGTAACGTTACTACTACTGGTAGAAGGGAGAAGAGGTCTGTGCAGGAGTTAGAGGAGGAACAACAGCAGAAGCGCATTAGGGAAATAATCATGTCCCCAAGTGATTCTGAGACGTTTGAGGGCTTCTCCGATTGTGCAATGGGGGATGGGGAGGAAAACAGGGGAGTAAAGAGGGCTACTCGCAATCCGGAGTCCGATGAGGAGATTCAGAGGAAGCGCATCCGGGAAATACTTAGTGCTCCTACGGAGGACGAGGATTTCATGGGGTTTGAAAGGAGTGATGGGTCTGGGGGAGTGATATGGGAGAGGAGGAGGAGCTGGATTGGACCCGTGTTCAACAGATTAGGGACATTTGTAACCAACCCAACTCCAGTGATGAATTTGAGGGGTTCACAGGGGATTGGCAACCGGGGAGCACTTGGCAAGATCTAAGTCTTGGCAGACGCTGGCAGAGGTGGAGGGATGTGCGCTCGGATTCAGCTGTGGGGATGGAGGCAGCTGAGAGCAATGAGGAAAGGCTGGGGAGCTCATCATCCTCTAATGAGGAGTTGTAGGAAAAAAGTGGGTTCAAAATGTATGGCTCTTTGCAGAAGGCAAAGTGTCTTTATGGGACATAAATCTTTGTTACTGCCAACTTTCGAGTTTGGGTCCTTGGACTACAGATTCCTGTGTTCCTGTGATTCCTGCGTTCCAGTGTTTACATTACTCTATGGCTTGACCACGGACCGGTTTGACCAACGATTTTGGCTTTTGGGGATTTAAGACATTGCTAACCTCGTGATTGAACATTGCATTGTTTTGGGACTTCGTTTTCTACCTTTTGTGACTGTGTTCTTGAACTATACAAACTTTGAAGCAGATTGCTGAACTTTGTGTTTAACCCGGATTAAACAGCGTTATAATCCGGGTTATATTTTTGTTGTTGGTATCGCTTTATTTTTGATGCCAAATTGCTGCTCTGACTCTTTGCACTGAAGTTAAGTGCTTTGAAAGACTATTTTTACATAATAAAGCTGTGTTTGAACTCTTTATCTTGTGTTTGGCTCTACTTAAGGCTTCTGGGTCTTGACAGTACTATAATCCGCTCTAAATCCCTTCAGGGAGATAGAGCAGAATATAAATAAAGCACATTATTATTATTATTATTATTATTATTATTATTATTACCCCAAATATACCAGAACTTTGCATACTCAGTTATTCTGAGTGTGCAAAGTGCTTCATGGACATCATTTGAGTAACTTTTCCAGCAGCATTCCCAAGTAAGCCATCAACACAGAAGACACCAGGTTCAAAGAAGAGGCTCTTAGATAAATCTATGGTTAAGGGGAGATTTTAACTCAGTCAATGCCCAGAGCATTGCTATGATTCTACCATGATTCAAAGTCAAAGCAGTGGCCTGAAATGCTTAGGATCTTCACAATCTTCAGGTGGTTCTCTTGCCCTTTTCTTTGACTCCTTATTTTGCGGCATTTGAACCATGTGTTCTTCTTCATGAGCCTGGAGGTGAAATACATCTTCTGGTTCACACTTAAATTCTTCTGTCGCACTTTTGGGATCCAGCGATGCCATACTTTTAGGAATGCAGCCATCTCTCTGAAATCAAACAAATATATTACACTCATCTGTACACCTAATGGAGAGGAAGGCCAATTTACCTAATATGATCAAGTTGATACAGTTTAAAATGATGGGGTCATTAGGCTGGGCTTAAGAGGACTTAGATCTTGCCAGTGCAAGTGGGGCTAGAGTAGTTCAGCAGGTTAAATCGCTAGCTGCAGAAAAACTTGCCAACCGGAAGGTTGGCAGTTTAAAGCTGTGGGTCAGGGTGAGCTTCCATTGTCAGCCCTAGCTCCTGCCAACCTAGCAGTTCAAAAACATGCAATGTGAGTAGATCAATAGGTACCACCTCAGTGGAAAGTTGTTTTTTTTTTTGAGAAACTGCAAGTCGCTTCTGGTGTGAGAGAATTGGCCGTCTGCAAGGACGTTGCCCGGGGGACACCCAGATGTTTTGATGTTTTATCATCCTTGTGGGAGGCTTCTCTCATGTCCCCGCATGAGGAGCTGGAGCTGATAGAGGGAGCTCATCCGCGCTCTCCCCAGATTCGAACCTGCGACCTGTTGGTCTTCAGTCCTGCCGGCACAGGGGTTTAACCCACTGTGCCACCGGGTAGGAAGGTAAAAGGCACCCATGCAGCCATGCCAGCAAAACACAACCAGGAAGGTCTATGGACACCAGGCTCCTTGGCATGGAATAATGGAACCAGAGCACCTCCCCATGGCTAGAGGTGAGCATCGCCACCAGACACAGGAAACAGAAAGGGAAACCTTTGCCTTTGTTTGTGTATTGCATGTCATTGTTCACTGTATAAAAGGCATTGAATGTTTGCCTACATATGTGTGTATGTCATGTATCATTTTCCGCAGTTGGTGGTTGGTGGTGGTAGGCCTAGCAGTTGGTGATGGAAGGGTTAATGTAAGTCTTAGTTCTAAAGGGTTGAGTAATCTGTAAGTAAGCGTTCATGGGTGAAAGCAATTAAGGGTGGAGATATGCAAGTGAAAGGTTGCAGCTGGGTGTTTCTGGATATAAGGATCTAACTTTGGGACTGATCTTTGGGAGCAAAGTATTTGTTTTATCTTGGTGGTAGATGCTGCTGGTTTTCCCCCAGGTTTATGGATTTTCGGTGTCCTGACCTGCCTCCTGAACCTTTGAAATCCTGGAACCTTGAATCTTGGACTGGCTTTTGACTATGGTATAGACTCTTGATCCCTGGACTTGATCTTTTGTATATGATTTGCATCCAATGATTATATATACTCCACCTTATCCTTCTGCACTTCATTGGATTGCTCAGGTTTGCCGTCTTGAAGCTTCTCCATAGGAACTTCTGGAACATGACAATACATTTGCCAAGAAAGAGACAAAAATATGAAAGAATGTCAGCATCTGTTCCTTTGCTAAAGTATTTTAAAATATGATCACTCCCAAAACATGACAATCATAACCCATCACACCATTCTGATGATCCTGTCCATTCCATTACTACAGAATCTAATAACAACTTTTTTCAGAAACTCAGAACAACACCCAATAACCTATGGTGACAACTGCCATAAGACATGGCCAAACTGTAAACAAGACAAGGGATTGGGAGAGTGGAAATTGTAGCTCCGAAACAAAAGCATGGGATGAAAGTGCAGTGCTGTGTCATTAACTCTGGACTATTGGGGCTAGACATTGTCAAAGGCTTGCTTAAACATCCAAGCCTTCAAATCCCTACGGAAAGAGGGCAGTGTGGGGGCCTGTCTAATCTCCCTGGGGAGGGTGTTCCACCACCGAGAAGGCCCTCTCTCTTGTCCCCACCAACTGCGCTTGTGACGGTGGTGGGACTGCGAGGAGGGCCTCCCCAGCAGATCTTAGAGCCCACACTGGTTCATAGAGAGAGATGCGGTCACAAAGATCGGCTGGACCTGAACCATATAGGACTTTGTAGGTGATAACCTGCACTTTGAATTGGGACTGGAAACATATCAGCAACCAATGGAGCTTCTTTAATAGGGGCATTGTGTGCTCCCTATAGCTGGCTCCGGTTAGTAGTCTGGCTGCCGATTTTTGCACCAATTGCAGTTTCTGAGCCATCTTCAAAGGCAGCTCCACACAGAGTGCATTACAGTAATCCAATCTTGATGTAACAAAGACATGGACCACCATGGTTTCTCAAGGTATGGTCACAGTTTGCGTACAAGCTTTAACTGTGCGAAGGGCTTTCCAGTCACTGCTGACACCTGAGCTTTAAGTGTCAACACTGGGTTCAGGAGAACCCCTAGACTGCGGACGTGTATCCTCAGGGAGAGTTGGACCCCACTGAGCACTGCTTGCTACCTTATGCCCCGGTTGGCCACACGTCTGACCAGGAGGACCTCAGGATTAAGCAGTTTGTTAGCCCTCATCCAGCCCATCACGACTGCCAGGCACCGGTCCAGGATCCAGGAGGCTTCCTTGAGTTAGGTAGAAAGGAGCAGTAGAGTTGGGTGTCATCTGCATACAGATGGCACCGAACTCCAAAACTTCGGATGACCTCACCCAGCAGTTTCATGCAGGTATTGAAAAGCATGGGAGATAGAATGGAACCTTACAGGACCCCACAGATCAAAGGCCAGGAATCCAAGCAGGTGTCCTCCAACTTCACCAATTGGGTGCAGTCCTCCAGGAAGGCGTGGAGCTACTGCAGTGCAATGCCCCCAAGACCCATTCCAGAGAGCCAACCCAGGAGGAGACCATGGTCAATGGTATCAAAAGCCGCTGAGATATCCAAGAGAACCAACATGGACACTCTCCCTCGTCAAGCTCTCTGCGGAGGTCATCCACCAAGGCAACCAAAGCTGTCTCTGTTCTATGACCAGGCTTAAAACCAGACTGTGATGGCTCAAGATAATTGGTTTCATCCAAGAAACATTTATAGATCGATCAATAATAATCACGGACCTAATTTTGAACTGGCTTTGGGCAAGATTGCTCAGAAAATTGCTATTTTCTATATGAACCTGGTTGATCTTTAAGAAGAGGTTTGCTGCCCTTTGTTGGCATGCCTTTATTTTCTGAGAAGGTGAAAGATGGCATCTATTCAGGAGGAGCAACCTTGTTTATGGAATACCCTCAACACAGAGATAATACTACTCAATAGCAGCAGCCTTGCCTTTCAGATGTTCAGGGAGGGAAGTGTTTTTGCTCACTTTGCATCCATAACTAGAGGATCCTAAGCCAGCGCAGCCCATTCTAGTGCATAATTTAATGGGCAACTCTATACACAATGCTGCCAGGCTCGTAACTGGATCTAGTTACAGGAAGCACTCAATTTCCTTGCTGCAAGGCCTCCACTGTTTATGGGTCAGTTCCAGGCAGAATTCAAAGCCTCGTTGTATACAATAGGGCTTGAGTCTTAACTAAACTGAGATTGTTGTACTTTGGACATATCATGAAATTACATGACTCACTGAGAAAAATGGTAAACGTACTAAAGAGAAAGGGGGTAGGAAAAGAGAGACAGCACACTGAAAGTGGGTGGATTCATACAAGAAACCTAAGTCTGCTCTGTATTTGCAAAACTGGAGCAGCTCAGTGGATAATTATCGTTTGTTCTGCAGTTGATGGTGCTTGGTGATGGAATGGTTAATGTAAGTATTAGTTATAAAGGGTTTAGTAATCTGTAAGTAAGAGTTCATGGGTGAAAGCAATTAAGGATAGAGGTATGCAAGAGTTAGGTTGCAGCTGGGTGTTTGTGGATATAAGGAGCGAGCCTTGGAAATGATCTTCGGGAAAAAAAAGTATTGTCATATTTTGGTGGTGGATGCTGCTGGTTTTTCCTCCAGGTCTGTTGGATTTTTGGTATCCTGACCTGTCTGCTGTAATCTTGGAACCCTTGAACCTTGAACTGGCTTTTGACTACGGTATTGACTCTTGATCCCTGGACTTTGTTTATTGAACTCTTGGTGTTTGACCACTGGACTGGACCCTTTGACAACGGTGTAGCTTTTGCTATCAGTTTTTGTTTATTCTGTGGCTGAGTGCTATCTTTATGTTTTATATTTTGGTCTATTAAAACAGCCAGCAAGTAGTGCTATTTTAATTAAACTGTTTGATAAAATTGGGAGTTCAGTTCATCTCTACCTAAATAAGGCAGAGCCTTGGCAACATGACAATGACCAAAGCTCTTGGGGGTTTCTCCATTGTAGGGCAAACAAAAGCAAAAGTCAACTTGATGGCAAATAACAGCAAAACTAGTTCAGGACCACACTTCTCGGCTTTCCATATGATTTCAAGCATGCCATTTTAGGTGTTTGCCACCAGATGAGGCTAGTGTTGCAGCATGCAAAACAATGCCCATGTCTGCGAGGCAGCGTTTGGTGACATAGTCTTTACATCAGAAACTCAAGGAGATTTTAAATCCAGAATATTGCTCATTCCCACAGATAGGAAGAGTACGGCTTGTTTGTGTTTCAAGCATAGGAGTGGCCACTTTGGTATCATCCAATGTTGAACCCAGTCATAATTACATTAGTGCATTCCTCGTCACATAAAAGATGCACAGATGCAAATGTTTTGCTCTTGGTGTGAGTGTTTCCTCCTGTTTGTTCTGCTGCCTGAATTCTTTCATTTTTAAACTGTGCCAAGTTTGGTTCAATTCCATCGTTGGTGGAGTTCAGAATGCTCTTTGATTATAGGTGGACTATAAATCCCAGCAACTACAACTCCCAAATAACAAAATCATAATTTTTTGAGTGATGGTCACTCCTTGCGTAGTGAGACGTTTTGTTGCCAAATTTGGTGTGATTTCGTTCATTGGTTCTTTTTTTTTTAAGGTATTCATTATGCACAGAGCATTTTTATATAGAGAGATGTTGTTTTCTTGTGTTGTAAGCCACCCCAAGTCCCTTTGAGGAGAGCGGGTGGGATATAAATAAAGCGTTGTTGTTGTTGTCGTCGTCGTCCTTAACAGAATAAAGCCAGAGAACATTTGCCCCCACTGCTCTTCGACTCACCTCTTGGGAGGCTTCGTTCCAGCTGAATCTTGAGCCAGATACTCACACGCTGGCTCCAGTCTCCCGGTGCCTCCACTTCCCACAGGCGAGGCTGTTCCTCTGGATGGAGTTCCAAGAACTTTTGACAAACTACGCAGGGAAGGCAAAATCACATGGAACCGTAGTCAAAAGAGCTGCAATGCGGGATACTAACCCTCTTCGCATTCTTCCAAGCATTACTGTTATCTATCAAGAGGTTAGTATCACAGTATGCACTCTATAAGTGACAACAAGCATATCAAAAGCTACAACATTGAACCCACTATAGAATCATACCATCCTAAAGTGGGAATAATCATAATCATAGAATCATTTAGCTAGAAGAGACCTGGTGGGCCATCCAGTCCAACCCCATTCTGCCAAGAAGCAGGAAAATTACATTCAAAGCCCCCACCCCATCCCACCCTGACAGATGGCCATCCAGCCTCTGCTTAAATGCCTCCAAAGGAGCCTCCCACCACCACACTCCAGGGCAGAGAGTTCCACTGCTGAACAGCTCTCACAGTGAGGAAGTTCTTCCTCATGTTCAGGTGGAATCTCCTTTCTTTCCTGTAGTTTGAAGCCATTGTTCCCTTGTGTCCTAGTCTCCAGGGCAGCAGAAAAGAAGCCTGCTCCCTCCTCCTTGTGACTTCCCCTCACCTCTTGATACATGGCCCTCGCTATGTCTCCTCTCAACCTTCTCTTCTGCAGACTAAACATGCCCGGCTCTTTAAGCCACTCCTCATAGGGCTTGTTCTCCAGACCTTTGATCCTTTGAGTCACCCTCTTCCTCTGGACACATTCCAGTGTGGTGCCCAGAATTGGACACAGTAGGATTCCAGGTGTAGTCTGACCAGGGTGGACTAGAGGAGTAGCATGACTTCCCTGGATCTAGGCACTAGACTCCTATTGATGGAGGCCAACATCCCACTGGCTTTTTTAGCTGCCGCATGGCATTCCTGGCTCATGTTCCCCTTCCTCCCCACGAGGATGTCTCTTTCACACATCCTGCTGTCAACCTAGGTATTGTCCCCAATTCTGTCTCTTTGCATTTCATTTTTTCTGCCTAAGTGATAGTAATAGTAATAATAACAAAACTTTGTTTATATCCCCACCAACCTCTCTCATAGGGACTTGGGGCCACTAACAAAATAGCACATACAGCACATAAAATGCAATACATCAACATTTAAGATCAATAGGGACCCCAAGGGCCATCCAGTCCAACACATTCTGCCATGCAAGAAAAGCACAATCAAAGCACTCCTAACAGATGGCCATCCGGGCTCTGTTTACAAAACCTCCAAAGAGTGAGTCTCCATTTCACTTCAAGACAGAGAGTTCCACTGTTGAACATCTCTTCTTATGGTCAGAAAGTTCTTCCTAGTGTTCAGGTGGGATCTCCTTCCCGTGATTTGAACCCAAGCCCACTACACATCTCAAGACAGTACATGAAGCAGACTGTGAGATTTAAAACAATTTCAGTAAGCCATGAATAACCCAATCATTGCTACTGTTTGTTTAACAACCTCTGCATAAGTGGGCCCTTGCTGTGTGGACATCTGAGAACAACAGAAGCGTTGGATGGGTTGCTTGCATGTTTATCCTCATGCACACATGTTTATACTCTATGTATACACTGTGCGTTACAAAGGTGAAAGTGACTCATTTTACACAAAGCTATTTTTATACCAAACTAACTGTCCTCTGCCACGCGTTGCTGTGGACCAGTCTGTTGAACTGGAAAGTAAAGTAATGAGAAAGTGTTGGTTTCTAATATATGTAATTTCTTTCTGCTTGTGAGTAAACAGTATTTCTTGCTGTTTCTTTGTCAGTGTTGATGTGGAGATTGTCTGGTTTGCCTACTCTGGAACATGCAACATATCATTGTCCTTCTTTAGGGGTCCCTTTCAAATCTATGATACTATATCTGTGTGTGTGTGTGAATCATTTCTATCTATCTGTATCTATAGCTGGGTGGCTCTTTGTCAGGAGGGCTTTGATTACATTTTCTTGCCCTGATGAAGGGAATTGGAATGGATGGCCTTAAGTATTTTCTGTTGGTCATGGGGGTTCTATGTGGGAAGTTTGCCCCGATTCTGTCATTCGTGGGGTTCAGAATGCTCTTTGATTGTAGATGAACTGTGAATCCCAGTGACTACAAATCCCAAATGTCAAGGTCTATTTCCCCCAAACTCCATCTGTGTTCATATTTGGGCGTATCGAGTGCTTGTGCCAAGTTTGATCCAGATACATCATTGTTTGAATCCACAGTGCTCTCTGGATGTGGGTGAACTACCACTGCCAAACTCAAGGTCAATGCCCACCAAACCCTTCCAGTGAGTTCTGTTGGTCATGGGAGTCCTTTATGCCATGTTTGGTTCAATTCCATCATTGGTGGAGTTCAGAATGCTCTTTGATTGTAGGTGAACTATAAATCCCAGCAACTACAACTCCCAAATGTCAAGGTCTATTTCCCTTAAACTCCATCTGTGTTCATATTTGGGCATATGAATATTCGTGCCAAGTTTGGTCCAGATTCATCATTGTTTGAGTCCACAGTGCTCTCTGGATGTGGGTGAACTACAACTCCCAAACTCAAGGTCAATGCCCACCAAACCCTTCCAGTGATTTTCTGTTGGTCATGGGAGTTCTGTTGTGCCAGTTTGGTTCAATCCATCATTGGTGGAGGTTCAGAATGCTCTTTGATTGTAGGTGAACTATAAATCCCAGTAACTACAACTCCCAAATGTCAAGGTCTATTTCCCCCAAACTTCATCTGTGTTCATATTTGGGCATATTGAGTATTCGTGCCAAGTTTGGTCCAGATCCATCATTGTTTGAGTCCACAGTGCTCTCTGGATGTGGGTGAACTACAACTCCCTAACTCAAGGTCAATGTCCACCAAACCCTTCTAGTGTTTTCTATTGGTCATAGGAGTCCTGTATGCCACATTTGGCTCAATTCCATCATTGGTGGAGTTCAGAATGCTCTTTGATTGTAGGTGAACTATAAATCTCAGCAACTACAACTCCCAAATGGCAAAATCAATTTTTTGAGTGAAGGACATACATTGGGTTGTTAGGTGTCTTATGTCCAAATTTGGTGTCAATTCATCCAGTGGTTTTTGAGTTCTGTTAATCCCACAAACGAACATTACATTTTTATGTATATGGATGTATACACTGTGCGTAACAAAGGTGAAAGTGATTCATTTTACACAAAGCTATTTTTATACCATAATACATAAGAGGACCGGCATCTTACCCTGGGGATCAAGCTTAGCACATCACAATGGGCTGGTTTGACATGTTGAAATGTTGAAATGGCCTCCTGTCTCAATAAAGATGAGACGTTTAATGAGATTGCATTACATCCAATACTACGAGCTGGATATGAGCCACATTCGATCCATCTGGGAAGTCCGTCCTTCTGAAACAGGCTCACAGCAAACACTGGTGGCAAACACTAGCAGAAACTCCTACATTCAGTGGGGCTGGGACCCAATACCACCACCACCACCCCTCAAAAAAATGGATTGCAAACCAAACAGAAACCATTTGTTTTCACAGAAAATAGAGGAAATCTTATCCCTTTGTGCAATGGACTGGTCACACAATGGCACGAGCCTTTCTGTTTTGTTTACACTGTATGTATTTGAGTATCTGTAACAGCCTGGAGGAATGTGGCGTTTGGATAATTAGTCTGGGACGGCTAAAGTTCCTTGCGTAACACATTGTTATGAAACAATATTTGGAAAGTAGCAAAGAGCCCCGTCCAAAGAGCTGAATGATGCCTTGCGCTCAGCACGGCATTTTGTCTTTGCAACACTGTCTGGGGGCTCCTTCTTTTTTAATGAATGGGTTGCCTGAGCAGACACCACACAGCTGCTTCTAATGAGAAGTCATTCGGCATGCCCGGCCCGCACATCATGCTATTTTGAAAAGGACACATTCAGAAAAACATGTTCTGGTTCAGTTAAAGATAACATGGTGCAGATTAGAAGGCAAGCAGAACCCAACCATTTCATTTATCTGTTGACTTTACACTTCGCCATAGATTAAAAACCTTTCATGTTCCCCTGAAGTGAACTCCTTTATGTACATTAAGATCCCTCTGCAAAGGATTGTTAAGTGATACATAGCACAAAACACGTAGGTGGTGGAGGCTCCTTCTTTGGAGGCTTTTAAACAGAGGCTGGATGGCCATCTGTTTGGGGTGCTTTGAATGTGATTTTCCTGCTTCTTGGCAGAATGGGGTTGGACTGGATGGCCCATGAGGTCTCTTCCAACTCTAGGATTCTATGATTCTAGGACAGTGTTTCTCAACCTGGGGGTCGGGACACAGTATTTTCTTTTGGTCGTGGGGGTTCTGTGTGGGAAGTTTGGCCCAATTCTATTGTTTGTTGGGTTCAGAATGCTCTTTGATTATAGGTGAACTATATATGATCCTGGACTCATCGCTGAGCCTGGAACCCCAGGTCTCGGCGGTGGCCGGGAGAGCTTTTGCACAATTAAAACTTGTGCGCCAGCTGCGCCCGTACCTTGGGAAGTCGGATCTGGTCACGATGGTCCACGCTCTTGTTACATCCCGATTAGATTACTGCAATGCACTCTACGTGGGGTTGCCTTTGAAGACCACTCGGAAACTCCAACTAGTTCAGCGGGAGGCAGCCAGATTGCTCACCGGAGCGGCATACAGGGAGCATGTTATGTCAGCTCCACTGGCTGCCGATCCAACTCCGAGCACAATTCAAAGTGCTGGTCTTGACCTACAAAACCCTATACGGTTCCGGCCCAGTGTATCTGTCCGAACGGATCTCCCTCTACATCCCACCTCGGAGTTTAAGATCTTCTGGGGAGGCCCTGCTCTCGACCCCGCCTCTATCACAAGTGAGGCTGGCGGGGACGAGGAGCAGGGCCTTCTCGGTGGTGGCCCCTCACCTGTGGAATTCACTCCCCGGGGAGATTAGATCGGCGACTTCCCTCTTGTCATTTAGAAAAAAACTGAAAACTTGGATGTGGGACCAGGCATTTGGACGTTCTGGCAGCAGGAGGAAGGACGTTGATGATGGACAGGAATTGACTGAACGGAATGGATTTATGGAACTC